TGATGAGGATATTTGATATTCTTGCCAAGAATAATAGCTTTGATATAATAGCTATGATCTTTTATTTCCTATATATAATTAAAAAACAAAACAAAACCAAAAAAATCACTCAACTTCCAAGACAGAATACCAAGCAGGACTCAGGAAAATGGGTGAATCAACACATATTCATGCAATTTGGACAAAGCAGTGTGTATCATGCCAATAATACTGATTTTCTTTAAAAGTGATAGCCGGTGTTTGATTTTAAATTTTTTTTTTTTTTTTTTGTGATTTAGCATGCTGGTATCTCATGTTTGTGGTTAGTGAGTAGTCAGATGAATGTAATCACCTTAAAATAGCCTTTGCAATCTGTGCTCTTTAAGAGCTCCACATAGGGATAACCAGAGTTACTGCGGGTCAGACCTGATGACATCTGGGTGGGAAAGGTTGCAGTGTACTTGCCAGCAAAATATATGATGCATGAACTATACTGTAGATATGTTCCCCCGAGGAATGATCAGTATACGACTAGAATTTTTCTGAGCTGAGCAAGATTATTGAATTCAGGCTGGTTTTCCTTAAATTCCTGGTTTGTAAAAATTACAATTAATGTCTTTCTGTCAGATCCTGAAGGTTGCTTGCATAGTTCGTAGGCTGTATGTGGAACTCCGTCTGATTAATGTTTTGTGGGTTTGTTTTGTGTTTTTTTTTTAAATTAGATCCTTCCCTTCCAAAGCCAAACGTGAGACAGCCACGTAAGTAACTCTTAAACCAATCTCTTTTAAGCCTTAAACTTTTGTCTAGAAAGTATTAGATCAATGAAGAAAATTATCTTCAAGCTTTCTGAGTGTCTGGGGTGTGTGTGAGTTAAATTCTGGGACAGAACAGAATTCTGACTGTATTGCTGATGGAGAGATTCCCATCAGCGTTTAGAGAGAAGGGCTGCGACCTTTTGTGTACGTGAAAATCGAATTTGGGAAAACACCATTGAGAGTCTCAGCCTTAGCGAGCTCATTTGCTGATGTGCGTGTGTTATTTCCCCCCTTCTCTGCTGAGGCCACTGCTTCCCAATACCAGGGTTTCAGCAGCAATGCCGTCTTACGGAGCTCCTGCGTCCTACTCCAAGCCTCACTCCTACCCTGCGCTGCAGCTGGCCACATCCCCAGTTACTCTGGCAGCAGCACTTATAGGTCATGCTGTAGATGAGATCACTGACTTGATACGGATTAATTTCTTTGGTTTTTTCTGTTGTCTTGGCGTAGTGAATTAACCAGGGTCAATTACTGACCCGGGAAGGGAAGAAAAGGAGAGAAGCAGCACTAGAAGACGATAATAAACAGGAAGGTGAAGATGATTTGTAGCCAAAAACAAGAATGAATGGAGAAAAGGGAAGAGTAGAAGAGGAAGTGCAAAGGTGTTTTCCTCTGCTCCTGTCCCTATGTCTTTGGGACTAAATTTGCTCAAATTAGCAAGGGGAGGGAGAAATTATGCTCCTGCCACTTCAGCCTCCATGTGACTTTCTCCTCTCCACTAAGTTTTCTCCTAAGAGGAGAGGACACTGTCTGGTGCCCTGTGGAAAAAACGGTTGAGTTTAGGAGAGTCTTTTCTGTTTGCATTTAAAACGACCAGATGTGGCCAAAGGAATCGGAAATAGTCTCACAGAAGAAATGGGAGAAAAACCTTCTAAGCCACTATCTGTCAGTTGCTGCATGTGCAAACTTGGTCGCAGGCACCCAGAAATGGGTCCTGAAGGCCCTTGCCAACCGGAACTGCTGGAGAAGACATTTGTCAAAAGGGGAAAAGGGGAATGGCCCTGAGGATCTCAGGAGCTGCTGGGCTGGGGGATGTCCATAGGGACGCCTGCTGGCTGCAGGAATGTGTAAAGTGAGGGTGTTGGTTGGAGAACTGAAATTCCACTGAAGGATACTACTGAGAAGATCCAGTCAGCTCATTTCCTGGCCAGCTTAGTCAGTAAAACGTTGCTCACTGGCCTAAGTCGTTTTGTGCACTGGGAGACATTAAAAATACTGAAACCAGAAATCAATTTTGTAAGAAGAAATGTCCCCAAATGATTGCTAAAAGAGTGATTATTATTTTTTGAAGTATTTCTAGTCACCAAAAAGAAAAACACAAAAGCCAAAAGTTTCTCTGTTTGGATGGTTAACACTGGGGGGCAATACATCCAGGAACCAGATGCTGTTACCCTTGAAACAGTACTGCGAAAGGGCCTCTCCCCTAGAAAGTGATTTGCATATGTGTGTGGTTCTATTTTTGTGTTCTGGAATTAATTTCAGTTATTGAAAGCATTGCCAAATGTGAAAAACAATTGTTTCTATTTATGTTTTCGCTGACTTTTTGCTGGCATCTCCTCCCTCTTAACAGCAGTTCCGTTCTCCACCTAGATTTCAGACTGAACTTGCAGGAGATGCAGGGGAAAGTTTGCTTGAATGTTAAGGCATTTAAATGACTTTTGCCAGAAATCTCAGCCTTTTTAAAACACATTTTTAAGATAAATGGATATTTAATTGAAAGCAAGTTATTAACAGCCAACTGAAAATGCTTAATTTTTGCAACGTTTTCCAGATTTGGGTGTGCTGAGCTGGGGTTTTGCTGTGTGATGTGGAACAGTTGGTTGGACTGAAGCCAGTCCCTGAAAGCATCATTTTTATTTCCTTGATGCAAATCTGCTAGTCTGTTCCTTAAAACGGTGCTTAAATAACTATGAATTTTTTAAAAAACTTTTCCATGAAAAGCGTAAGGGTGAATTTTTGTAAAACCGTATTTGCCACTGAAAATAAAAAGTCCTCATTATGTGTGTTTACCTTTGTAGCTGTGTTCTACGGTCTGGACACGCTGACTGTCGTGGGCATTGCCTTTGCGGCATTTGTAATTGGAGCCCTGCTAACAGGAGCACTCTGGTTTATCTACTCTCGCACAGGTAAGTATGAGGGCTCTCACAGACCTCGGCGCAGATCGTGCTGCAGGAACTGCGGTGTGGTCTGAACTCTTGCAAGGTGGGAGGAAAGGGGAGGGGGGCCAGCGATGGCTATCCCGGACTCTTTTTCTTGCGCTCTGTTCTTACTAGGGTGTTTTCCAGCAGCTCCTCCCATGAGCCTGTTGGTGCGTATCAGCAGATTGATACCCGCCCTTCCCTAAAGGGAGGTGTTGTGCATTATGAACATGATATAAAATTTGCTAAAATAATTTTAAACGCAAATCTTGAAAATTCATCTGGGACATGAGTAAAACTGAATGTTCCTGGCTTGTGCATTATCGTTAGCAGCATCTCTGTATTTCAAATTTAGTTAACATGTCAGTTAATGGATCCCTTTTGGTTCCCACACTCCTTTTTTAAAAATTTTTTGCAGTTACTAAATTAGGCTGATGTGACTGGGAATGTGATGTGATCAGTACGAGGAGTGGGCCAAATGGCTAAGAGAATGCTTTATTTACATAGACACATTCTGAATACAACTAGACTTGAAAATGTTTCTTGGGCCTTGATTACGTAGAATTTTTGCCCCAATTATTTATTCCTCCATTCTTCAACTGTTGGTAGAAGTCGTGTGTAATCTCACTTAATTGTGTCCAACCAAATAACCAGGAATGTGCCTGAATTGGTGCAGCCTTTATGCACAGATAATTTTTCAGTATCTCCTCAGAATTTTTTTCCATACTAAACTAAGTTAGCAGAAATACAACACTGTATTGGAAGAAGAGGGAGTTTTGGGAGCTTTCTCCTGCATGCAATCTGCAAGGTGGTACAGACAAAGACCGGACACTGACGGGGCCTTGATTTGCAGCATCTGACCTCGGCTGCTTGTGGATTACAGGGTATCTCAGGATCCCTACAGCGTGCTGGACTCCCAGCTACTTCCACTTTTGACCTCGCAAGACCCTGCCAAGATCTCTGGGAGGTGGGGAGAATGTGAGGTCAATTACTCCAAACCTGTGCAGCTCTGCAGCACTGGAATTCTCCCGTAGCCCACTGCAGGGTTTTTTCGGCATCTAAAACCTCATGGAAGCTATTTAGGAGTGAGAATCCGGCCCTGTCGGGTCAGAGCTTCTGTAAATATTATGACCCAGGAGCTTATGTTAATTTGGAAAAAAAAACTGTGGTTTTTTTTCCAGTTGGCAGTACAACAACTTTGTATAAGCAGTTTAATACTTCTCAATGTATCAGCTGTGTATGAAGCTTGTTTGGAATTGAGGCAAATGTGGAAAATCTAAAGGCTGTGATAATACGTATAAATAGTATAATTCTGCCTCATATACTCCTGAAACATTGTGGAAGAAAAGTAAGTGCAGTTTCAATGAGTAAATGTGTAGGTTAAGAAGGTGATTTCTCAGTAGGTAGCCTTTATTAACAAAAAATTAAAACAATTGTTAAATTAATATCGTTGGCCCTGCATTTGTGGAAGTTCAATCTCTGTTCGTATACAGAACCATCTATAGACACACGTGTATCAGTAGTAAAGGAACACTGGGAAGCCAACATGATAAATCCTTCAGCAACAATAGGACTTGGACCAATCCCATTAAAAGAATTATATTAACAAAGTGCATCAGTCACGGTGACCATGTACAAGTAGTGGAGAGGGCAGCTGCTCTGGCTCTGTGTTTGAGAGATGAAAATAAGTGGAGAAAAAGGCCAGACAAAAAGTAATAAATGAGAAGAAAAAAAAGGAAGGGGACGTTGTAACTCATCAGATAGAGAATCACAGAAACGATAAAAAATACCTAGGAAGTTATCTGGTTCAGATTTTCCAAGGATTGTGAAAGTGAACCTATGTTCCTGTGCACATAATTTTTCTGTGCATAATACCTTGTATCTACAAAGCACAGCTTGCAGCAGAGTACAGTGAAGGCTCTGGCAGGGACAGTCTCTGAGAGGATGACTGCTGTGGCAGAGAAAATAATCCAGCTGCAGAGGGAACATTTTAGAGCTGGCTGCAGACTTTTATTAAAATAAGGAGGGGAAAAAAAAGATAATCTAAATTTCATCTACAGAGCGGCTGTCTTTTGCCATTAGAGAATTCACGTGTTGCTGAATTGTGTTCTGAAATCTCATCTTTTGTTGCAAGTAGCACTGGGTTTCTAACGCATGGTTTAGACCAAAGGTTGGAAGATTCATTCTCAAAGGTTGGAGTTCATTCTCAAACTGTGTTTTGGTGATACTCAGAGCATGGACAAAAGCTACTGCTGGTGAAGAATGGCAACTTGGGATGTGTGAAGTAAGGTATTTTTGTTGCTTAGTGCTTTACGCAATACAGCAAAAGGCCACTTTTTTGCCAGTAGTAGTAAGGTTTGCCAATATAGTTTTATCAGTGTGTCTCTACTGGCAGACTCATTCTAGCATGGAGAAAACTTTACATGAATGAGCTCTTTTGTTCATCTTGATAGGCAGTTAATATTAAAACCTCAAACAATTGATAGCAGAAAAGAACTACAAAATAAGTAGGATTTCATCTCCAAATATTGAACAAGGATTGTTGTGTTGGGTTTTTTCATGTAGGGCTTTTGCTGATTTTAGTAATGAAAAAATCAGGGATTTCTCCCAACGCATCGAAATTGTGCTTTTAAATACTCTAGATTCTCCGAAACAATTCAACATGGAGTACAGATGTCCTAGGATACGCAGGTAGTAGAGGAAGAGAGGGAGGAAGCTAGGATTATGGCAACGGAGGAGGAATTTTACCCAACTTCTCTGCAAAAGGACTCCGTTCTTTTGATCCTTTTTCCAGTCAGTTAAAGGACGTGAAAGGTGGCTGAAAGCTTTCCACAGCGGTGTTGGTTCTGCCCGGAGAGGACCCAAGAACAAAGGGAAAGTAGCAGAGATTTGCCACAATTAACCCAATTTACCTGGGAGTCTTACAAAGAAGCAAAAATTTTGTGGTGTACATGGATGCAGAAACCCTTCAAAATTTAACCATGTAAATATCTGCCAATGTAATATCTGCCTTAATAGGGATAATTGACTATGTTCAGGAAGGGACATGCACAAGTCTGATTAGTTAATGAGGCTGCTGAACCAAGTAAAGTGAATGCTGTGTTACAGAGAGTATCAGTTGCTTCATGCTCTTAGAAAGCATGCTTTCCTTCTCCAGGCAGTGTTGCAAGTTAACGGGATAAAATGTTCCAAAATCTGAGAAGTTAAAAGCGTCCCTCCTCCCCCACTTCTCCCCTTTTTATGGGATCTGATTTAAAATAAACTGACATAGCAACCAATTATATTTGGCAAATGGAGATAGAAAAGCAAACATTCAGACTTCCTGGACAGGGAGTACAACTGGCAGCTTTCCTAAGTGTGAATAATAAAGTGCATGTTGTCGCATTCAGATGGGTAAAAGCTTGTTTACTGTCAATAGATGAGACATGTCCATTGGGAGCAGTTCTGGTTCAGTAACATGAGATACATGAAGCTGTTTACATGAAAAAGACAGATGGGGAATGCCTCTTCAGTGATAATTTACATTTCTTTACATCCTTTTCATGAATATTCTTTAAAAATGCTTCGCTACAGATTAGCTAGGTGTTGAGGAAATAAAATGCAGGAAAAATCAGCCGGTCCAAATGTAGCTGCTAGACTGTGTTCATAACGTCACTGTGACTTGGATTTTTTTTCTTCCTTGAGGACATTGAGAATTTATTATTGTTCAACGAGTGATCGTGGTATATCAGAGCTGCTGATCGTGCTCTAGAAATGAGGTGCTGCAGAGGCAATGGAATTACAGCGGAGGGAAGGGGGCTCCCATCCCAAACCGTGGGGAAGGTGCCTCCTAAGATGCTTTCCAGAGGAGCCGGGAGGAGTAGAGCGAGCTGTTGGGCTCGCGCGGGGACTCCAGCACTGTGTTTGCCACTTTGCCGTAAAGAAAAACATGTGTTTTAGCTTCTAAATGAATTTCTGGTTAAACGCATACAGATTGTATTGACATGCCGAGGCTGACGCAAAGCTGCGTGCAATCGTGTGGTTTGTAAAATGGGTGACAGCAGAGCTGCAAGGAGAGCCGGTGGGAGGGCGCGGGGGCCGGGGGCCCCGCTGGGGGAGCGGAGCGGAGCGGCCGCCGCTGCCGTGCACGGCCGTAGCGGCTTCTCCTCATGCTGCCGGGGGTGGGGGTCCGCCGGCTTGCTGTTTTCTGGTGTTTGTGTTCGCTTGTTTTGTTTTAATGAAAGGGAGTTTGCTTATCACTGCCTTTATAAATATATCCTGTACTACAAAAGGAAGGAAGACTCGTACACAAACAACTGGAGGAGAAGGGAGCAAGTTGGGAGGGGAAAACATCCAAACAAGGCTTATGAAAGCTTTTACAGCACGATGACACAGACATTGATTTGATACAGTTTATTCTGATGGGTTTCCAATGCAAGTTAGAGCTGAAACTCGGTTTATTTGCAAGATGACTGGGGGTGGCTTCTGACCCGCGGCATGTAGGCAGAAATCCGCCGCTTATGGACGAGCTGTGTAGTTATTTCTTACACTGGGAAAAACAGAATCAAAATCTGCTCACAAAAGTAAATGCTGGACTTAGTGCTGAATTCAAGAGTGCAATCCTGACACTCTTAAACATTTCATTGGCCTCCTGGGCGATGTGGTTTAGTGGCTTAGTTTGTTGTTTTTCTGTCCAGCCCCGTCCCTTCTTTCCTCCCCATTCCTAAACCAGTGGGGTGTAAGGCAAGAGCTGCGCGTTGTAGGGCCTGACGTGCGCTTACAGCTGTGGCGCAAGCTAGCAGCGAACCCGCTGGTTTCCATTACAAAGAGCACTTGCAGCCTCTGCTGTGAGAAACCCTCAGACCTCCCCTATTTGTAGCAGACCTCTGAATACCGAGCAGCCTGCGGAAGGACATTTTCTGGCCCGAGACACAAAGCGTTAAAGGCTCACTTCCTCCGCGGCCGCATTCCCGAGGAGCTCCGGGGCTCTGGCAGCTGGGCAGCAGCACACACGGGGCACGGGGATGTGCCAGAGCAGCTCCTGCGGGAGGAAGCTGGCTCGTCCCGGCTCTGTAACCCTCTGGATGCAGGCTGTGCCCCCGGCCTTCAACCCGTCACCGAGGCTATCGCTGGGGAACAGGAGCTCTACCAAATCCTGAGCAGGGAAGAAAAATTGGCCCCAGCAGACCTGGCCCAGGGTGTCAGGTTTTGGGCAACCTAGGGCAACGTGAGCAGATCGTCTGTGTCCCTATAAGCTAATGAGGCAGATGTACCAGCCTTTGATTTTTTTTTTTCCCAGTCGTTCCTGCCCGTGATCCGGCAAAACATTTCCGTCTTGCTGCTTTGCTGGGAAAGCAGGCGTGCTGGTGCTGGCTGCCACGGTTGGTCTGCAGCTCAAGCAGCAGCAGTCTGTCCTTGTTACCGTGCTGAGATCACAGGCTCACATCCTGAGAGATGAGCTCAAGGGAGGGGGCAGCTGCAGTGCATGTTATATAAACTTAGTCTTGCCATCTGTTTTGAAGAGACTATTTTGTAATATTACTAAGGTTGCGGATTTGAGCGCTGTAACTTAAAAAATGCCACAGTTACGGTTTCCTACATGGTCTCAACATGATCTTTTGGGCATTCACATAATGACGCAATTTTTACTTCCATGCTAGTCAAGAGCTGGATTTTTTCCGTAGGATCCCAGCCACAGGTGCAGAAGGGGTGTGAGGAGAACAGACAAAAATCTAGGTTTTATCAGGAGCCATAAATCTGGCTTTAACTCCTGAGTGCTTGATTTGGCAATCCAAATAACAAAGGGCTTTTAATTTATCATCAGTAAACAATTAACAAGAAATGGTGAGTCTTGTTCTCACTACTGGTTGTAAGTGCTACACATACTGTGGTAGCTGCAGGGGAACTTCCTGCATGTTGTATTTGGAGTAAGTCAGTCAAGCTTGCAGGGTAGCCTGTTGTTTTTCTACGTGAAGAAAACTGGCCATGTCTCAGGATATGTGGTATCCAGCTGACTGAAGAACATTGTCTTCAGCTCCGCTTTTAGTAAATATGCTGCTCTATAAACCAGCATTTAAACTAAAGCCTACATTTTACTCACCTTTTTCCATGAAACAGCAAAGCTATAAAGTGGTCTGAGTCACGTAGCGGGACCCATGTGAGTGACGGCTGACAACAGAAGATGGACAGTGTCTGTCTTGGCGGTTTCCGTCAGCTGCTTTTAAAATGCTTAAGAGAACAGCAGCATTATTTTCCCCATGTGCATAGCAATGCTAAGGTGCCAAAGTCTAGTAACATTTTCAACAGTACTCTGTCTGAGGTCTGTCACCCAAGACAGTCGTTGCATGGAAATACAGACCACCAGAAGAGGAGGACTGGGAAGGAAGGGATTGTTGCTTTCTATGACAACTAACATTTTCAATTTCCCTTCTCCCGACGTCCCCTTTTTCTCTCCCCTTTCCCTCAGGGGAAACAGCGGGAAGACAGCAGGTCCCTACGTCCCCACCAGCCTCCGAGAACAGCAGTGCAGCGCACAGCATTGGCAGCACGCAGAGCACCCCCTGTTCCAGCAGCAGTGCAACCTAACTCCCCGGGGGGGCAACACAGATTGAGGAGCAACATAGGAGTGCAGAGGTTCAAAGGACTGTGTGTGGACGTGAGCTTTTTAAAGTTAAAAGGATTGGTTTGGTTGCTTTTGAAAAAAATGAGGAGGGATTTTTCTACAGGAAAAAAAAAAAAAAAAAAAAAAAAATTGGCCTATCAATTACCCCACATTTTCTATATTACCTCTCTAAGCCACGAAGGGGCAATTCCCCTCCGTTACACAGCTGCTGCTTTCACACAGTCAAATTCTATATAACTGACCAGAATTTGACCCTGAAATACTCTTCCCCATTTGCAGTATACACAGATTGAGGAGCAACATAGGAGTGCAGAGGTTCAAAGGACTGTGTGTGGACGTGAGCTTTTTTTAAAGTTAAGGATTGGTTTGGTTGCTTTTGAAAAAAATGAGGAGGGATTTTTCTACAGGAAAAAAAAAAAAAAAAAAAGACTTGATTTTCTTTTGGGGAAGCCACTGTGTGTGTGTGTGTGTATACGTGCACACAATGCATGGGTAAACACAGCCTGTTGGATCTTCTATAGCATGTTGTGCTACATGTGACAAAGCTACTAATTTTGCAGTACTGCAACCTGTTCTAGGGGTCCGCGGGCCCTCAATGTGAAATCTATGCCAGTTTGGAAAAATGCTGCTTTGTCTATACGACTTTTTTCTTTCCCTAAACCTTCTCATTGACACAAGGTATTCATTAAGGGAATTCAACAAGATAAGCAGAACAAAGATGGTCTTAGGTCAAAGGATTTCTATTTGTCTAAGCAAGAAAGCCTCAAGGTCAGATCTCTTTGGTTAATAACTTTTTATTACTTCAGCTATGTTTAGCCACTTTTGAGTAACCTTTGTTTTGTTAAGCTTACAGCTACAGCATCTCATTTGCTTTCCTGTTGTTTTTGCAGCTTCAGGTTTGTTCCAGGTATTTTTGTTTTAATATGCATTGATTTGCTAATTGGAGAAGAGCGCACTCTAACATTCCCTTTCTTATTCTCTGGGCCAAAGCTCTTTACTAAGAGATTTTTTTTTAATCTACTATACCAAATACAGGCACACACAAAAGGTAAGACAAATAATGTTCTTGTGCACTAACATAGATATGTGTGTACCTTTAATGGCAATGTCTTTATGCAAATAGATGTATACCTAAGTATACAGAGCCTAACTTACCACGTTAACAATTGGGAAATTAGCTCAGTGTTCCTTCCATACATAAAATACATAATGCATATATATATATATAAAAATAAAAACCCAACTGTCTCTTCAGTTTATAATAGGTAGATAGAGGAGATAAAAAAAGGTGATTCGGTTCTAATCCTTTAGCTAGCCCAAATTCCCTTTGAAATAAGAGCTGGTTTTGAGGGCACAAAGAATGTACAGTAGAGCCTACTGTTTGTGCAGAATACTGCCTATCAAAATGAAGCTATTCTCTTAAGATAGTTGTGCAGTTGTTTGTGTCAACCTGTTGTATGAACATTGCAATTGGATAGTCCCAAAGTAGCGTCAGAATATGGAAATGGCAGAAAGGTACTAATTGTCACAGTATTTTTTTTAGTGTCATTGCCATATCTTGACCTTCAAATCGATGCCAAATGAAAAGAAAAAAGACACTTTTAATGTGTAATTGTTTGACTGTTATGTTGCCACTTTGTAATTGTAATGCGTTCTACTGATCCTTCTCCTTTGAGGAAAAATGAGCATTGTTTTCCTCTAAAGATGAGATGAGTAACTTTCATTAATTTTAGTGAAGGTTACCTGTGTTCTGCAAGAGGGGAAGGGAATTCATTACACTAGAGTGATAGTCTGCCCTGAAGTCTGAGCTGCAGATTTCTTTTGCTGATTCTACACTCGTGCCTTGCTGATGCCAGGATGGTCAAAGTGCAAGGTATGCAATAGATGTAAGTGCCCAGGATCAGGTGGAATATTACTCACTTTAAGTCAAATCTGTGCCTAATCCTGCAAACGTTTATGCATATGAGTAACTACACGCCTCGTCCTTGCTAGTTACAAGCACATGCTCAACTCTACACATTATGGCTATTCTTAGAGTCCATGGAGGTAGTTGGTGCATAGTTACACGTATGGAAAGTGTTTTCTGTTACCGGGCCAATGTGTAGTCCTGGTAACATCGACAGGATTGTCACGTAAGCGTAGTTATCCCCATGTGTAAGGGTATGCAGGATTGGCTCTGTTACGAGGTGTTGGGAGGATGAATGTGCTACCTGTGTGGTTGAAAAGAAAGCGCTTTGCCTAACCTTCAGCAGAATGTATTGTATAAGCATATTCTATGTGTAAAGTCTTTAAAGATGTCTTCAAAGAAGACTAGAGTCTTTAAGTTCAATCATAGCTATATTTTACTACATTAAATTTCTGTATAAAGATATATTTAAATGTTTTAGATAAATGTAAGTTACTCTATATGAAATGTTTAATTTCAATTACTGTGAAATTTACATATTTTGTAAATTCTTTTCCCTGTTTTAACCCTTTCCTTCCTCAGATATTTTATTAAGTAGTTTCTCATAGGAAGTATTAGATTTCGTTGTTGGGATGGACAGGTTGAAAACTTTTCTGTAAAATAGATAATTGTATATTTTTGAGAGAAACATGCTGCATTATCAATGTCTTTTATCAAAAATTTACTCTAATTTTAAAATAATTTACAGATTTATATTTACCGTTGGATAAACCAAAAATATATAAAGATCAAAGATGCGATTCGTTGACTTCTATTTGAAATACAGTTTAAATTAATTAACTGAACTTGGTGTACTCAGCTATTTAATTCAGAAATTTTAATCAATCTGAATTAATTGTCTATTGGAGGTTACCAAAACTACGTGTAACTACTTACCAGATGGAACAGCCATTTCTGCTTCAATAAAGAGAGAGAGAGAGAGGACCACACCTGGGCATTCCCAGTGAATAGCTTTATTACAAAAATGTACAGTACTTTCCAGCAGGTGTTAAGCTGCCTGCAGTCCAGCGTACCGATACACCGATAAGCTCTACTTTTATAGCAGCCATTCGTCTCTCCTGCAAGTTTCTGTCTGTGGCGTGGCAAGCTCCTGAGCGCGTAACGGCGAAGCCGCTGGTTCCCGCCTCTGTCAAACCTGGTCTCACCGCGCTGGACTTCACGTGGCAGATACCCACGAGGTGTGGAAGGCCAGCGAGACGCCCCGGTCCCAGCGGAGGGCTTTAAAGCAGGGCTTCGGAGGGATGGGCTCAGTGGTAAATTTCAGCGTGATGGAATCGACTGCGAAGGAACTTCTTATGTAAGAACGGGAGGATCGGGCTTGAAAGGGACACCTTCTGTCTGTAAAAGCTATTAGTAACATGCTTAAACTCCAAAGTAGACTGCTCGTTGTGTCATGCGTCGTCTAATCACTAACTCTAACCTTTTACAGCATTTGGTTTTAGACATTACCATATTCATGTTTCAAGAAGTCAGATCTTTCTGTGTTAGGCTATATTTGTAGCATTTTCCGCATGGAAATGGATTTTGCAAAATGTCTGTAGATGTTGATGATTGTAACCTTCCCCCCGCCCTTTTCTAACCATTTCTCTCCTATATGTACCGTTCTTTCTGTTACGTATATCTACCTCATGCTTCACAAGAAGACTGTACTGTTGGTTGTGCTGACAGCCATTCGTGTGAGGTGACTGTTCTGCCCTGTTGTTGTTTGTCATTCATGGGGATGTTCATAGCGTTATCGGATCTTCACTGCCATGTTCCTACCAGTTCCAAACACAATATTCTCACCTTCAAATAAATAAGTACATTTCTTTAAGATCCAAATGCCAGATGTTTTTTTAAATCAAAGAATGGGAGACATTTACTTGCTAATACCTGTGGCCAGTCTGAACACCCCATTTGTATTTCATACTGCGTTCAGTATTTCAGAGACTTGTGGAAATGCATAGTTGTACAGTTTTTATAACCACAGTGTCATGTCATCTTAGTCTCTTGTGCATAATAAAGTATATATCATTTATTAATAATTGATGCCGTGATTCGTTTATTTGAAGTTGTACAGAGCCAACAGCGGTAGATCAAGTTCTGTCTCACTGCCATGTCCTCATCTCCCGTAAACTTCAGTGGGAATTGTGTGTGTTAAGGCAGGATTTGATTTTGTGTGACCACCTTGATTTTCTCCTTTCTGTGTTACCCATTGGCTTTGGTTGGCTTCTCAGTATCATGGCTTCTTGCAGAAACCAGTAGATATATTTGGTTAAATGCTGCCATTCTTCACTCTAATTCGAAGTCCAAAGCTCTGATCCTGCAGGCGTTTAGTTGTTGCGTGTCGAGACACAGGCTCGGTCCCATCCTGCACAAAGCCTGGCTCGAGCACAGTCAAGCCTAAGGGTCTGCTGTTAGTCCTCTGGCTGAAGCAGCAGAGCCCCCTTGGGCTGTTGTACCCTTGACACTGGAGACACGTGAGCACGGCTGAGATGTGTTTTCATTACTGAAGGGTCTTCCTGTGCTAGAGCAGATAGCTTGGCCATGTATCAGCGGGGCAAGGATTTGGGTGTTTACTATCCTGCTTATTGCTTTGTTTCCTGTATTTCATGTGCAAAATATTATTTATGGGCACTCTGGGGGAGCCAGCCTCAGCGGTATTTCCCTGGGTTATTCAAAGATTGTGGTTATTAACTCACAAAACGGAGCTCCCTAAGAAAGGGATCTAAAATGTTTAATGATCACTTTTAAACATCGAGATTCCTTCAGCACAGAAAAGGCTATTAATTAGAAGTAAGCTTACACGTTGCCTGTGACTTACAGCTCACAGAGGTGCAATAGATTTACTGCTTCACAACAACCATATTTCAGTTTCTGCATGAAGACAATTTTTTTTCCTTTGGAAATGAGCTCTGTAGAGCTGACTCTCAGCGTAAACATACTGGAACTGATCTCGTGATCAGTCTCTCATATGAGGAATTAATTTTAAAATGCAATTATTAGCCAACAAATTGTGATATATTTGCATGAGTATTTTCAGACACTAAGAAGTAAAGAGTCTTACTATATTACAGAGTAAGCATCAATGTTGTGCGTGTTTGTTCCCGCCAGGCAGTCGTGAGTGAAGCAAACATTTTGGAGAGTCAAAAAATACC